ATTGAAAATTGGAAATCTCAATGTTTGATTTATCTCAATAGGTTATAAAGGATTGAGATCATTATAATGTCTTTCTGAAAGTCATGCTGCGAAACAGTTGTCGATGAATGAAGCTAGAGCAAGATCGAACAGAAATTCGGACCAGGATTCGTGATATAAACTACAGTAAAAATGAGTCTTGAGTCTGAAATGTTGGTAGCGATACTGCGATTCCGATCTCAGAAGGTCGAACTCTCAAGGCTCGAACTTTAAACCTTAAACTATAAAAGCTAAAATTCTCAAAGCTTCAATCTTTATGTTCGGAGAATCGTGTGGTCTGTTACTATCTTAATACTGTACAGTTAATAACGGCTCCAGTCTTTAAACGTAGAGACTCGAACGTTGAAGGCTTTTAAGGTTTAGATGAAGCTTTTAAAATTCAAAGGTTCACCTCTGAAGCTTCAAAGATTCAGCATTTAAGATTAATCCTTAAAGCTTTGAGAACTTGAGCTTTTTACAACACTAGTATAAACGCATGCATTATAAAGAATTGAATAATATTTGATCCAACTGAGAGTTGATCGAAAGAAGACCGACAGCGAGCGCCGGATCCTATGGGGTTGGTATCTGCTATCCATGTATGATATCTTCAATTGTTTAAACAACGTGACCGAAAAGTAAGGCTTCCGTTGTATTAGATCCCGCGTTCTGTTCTCAGTTGAACACATTGCAACAGCTCGGAGAATTCAGATGGTTAAATGAAAATGCTATAAGTTTTGGATGTCGATTATTTATTTAATCTCACAAAGTTGCACCGAGTTTTGTTATATTTATTCTGAGAAAACCGGCATTTATTTGAGCTTTAAATTCGAGTACACCTCGACTATTAGGAGTACACTGCCAATTGTGCTCGAGACTAAGGTCAAAACACTGAGGTGGTTATCTGAGAAGTGCGATATACGACTGAGAGTGGATCCGCGATTTCTCTATAACACCTCGTTTGATCGTATCGAGGAAGGAACTGCCTGTGTTCCGTGTGTATTTAGAGTTCGTGCAATATGCGGTGCAACAAGAGGGTAACCCGCGTTCGGCAGCGTAGCATCTTGACGAGGTTGAGTGAGACTGTATGTCGTTCCGCCGGTCTTCCGGGTTACATCCTCCTGTTCTTAGACAAGGAGAAGAAGCAAGCCAGGCTGACATCAAAAACGCGGGAGGAAAAACGCGCGTAAAAAAGGGCGCGAAAATCCTGGTGAAAGTGTCCGCGTGGCTGGCCGGAAAAACCCTGACTCGTGGGAATCTGGCTGTCAGATGCGTGAACTGACCGTAACCAGACTCTCACAGGCCTTGGCGGGACGCGAAAAAGCGTACTCAGGTATCTACGGAATAAACTGCCTCGCTACAACACATAGTCTTTGTACTATGCTTTGTGTCTAAATCTTAGACCGTGCTTTCGCACATAAATTAAGACTACGCTTCCACTTGAGTTGTAGAAGGAGGCTAAACTCAAGAGAGACTTGGCCGCGACGTGAGGTATGTTTCGACTAATTAGGTTTTGTTTTACTTAATTTACCTGATTATATGTTGTATCTATCGGCCTTAGCCAATTCATCAGTGACCATGAAATAGATGCAAACTGTGAAATAACAAATAGTTATAATAGCAATTTTGCGTTAATTCCCTACTAGATTCTTAAACACTTTTGAAAACATTCTTTATTTGTTTTTAAAGTGCGTAACTCTTTAAGTTTTTCCGACCAAGGATTTTCTCTTGTTAGTTTTAAGTTACGTTAGGGAATCCAACGAGTTACATGAGGAAAATATGTGAGCACTCATGCAGAATGAGGGTATGCATTTAGGGAAAACTCGTGGAAGGAGTCTTGAAAGGGAAAATGCGTTTAAATTGACCAGGGACGCGCAATTCTGTGAAAATAAGGAAAATTTCGAGTGTGTAATAAAGCTTGCAATACGTAAATGTTTCTAAAAAATATTATTCAACATCTGTACCATTGAAGGTAAGCTTCGAAGTGAAAGAATTCCAATAATATCTTCACTTAGAAATTATATACTTGCATCTCATAAAAATATTACATCATACATTTATTAAACTCTTTGAATGTAGCGTCGAGCATATTAAATAGCTTAAAACGAGTTGTGAAGAAGTATTTTCGAGCTCAGAGTACAAGTGCTCGATACCTAGTGACTGAATAATCTCGTTTAAAGAAATTGTTCCCCAGGCGTGAACGTGATTAAACTGGCTGAACCTAATTCCGAGAGTTCGCAGGTAACAAGGTGAATCTAAGTTATTAGATAGGTAGAAACGCAGACTGGCAAATTAATTCGGAAAAACTAGATCTTCTGGAAATATACGAAGCTGCAGGATTAACTTAAACGCGCGTCGTAAGGTTCAATCGTGCGCAGAATAAAACGGGATCTCGTTGATGTAATTTTGAAACATCCATATCATATAATAATATATTAATAAACCACAGCCTGCAAGAAACATTAAACTTTTCATAATTTCATCGGCGACACATCTATACGTTAAGTGTAGGTTAATATCGGTTAATAAGTTACCTAACATTGGATCCTAAAAGTCTTGCCAAGGTAATGTATTTCAAGAAAAAACGTAGTTACTTCACTTACTTTTGCTCACGTTTCGCTAGGTAAACACATTTATCAATGGCCGAATATACGACTTCGTGCATAGCATTTTTAAGAGAAACGCAGCCTAGTATGATTTTCCGTCACATTTACCAGCTTCGAACTCTCCATCAGTCTTCGTCCTCCATTTCAAATTCGCGCAATATTTTATGCGAGATCCCCGAAAAAATCTCTGACCAATCGTATTTCATGGACATTATGCGCCCGCGTCAACAAGGTTAGAATAGAAATTCGGTCACGATCGAGAACGGCCGAAGGGCATGATCAAGCACAATTTCAACAATGCTGCGGATGCTGAAAATTTCCCACATAGTTTTGCCGTCAACTAACTTTTGTCAGCGTACAGATATCTCTTGTATATAAGTTGGTACTCGCTCGCAAGCGTCAATAAAAAGTGAAAATTTTCGCGTAGCCCCAACACCCCGCTTCATAAATTTCCAGCAACTTTCGTCATGGACAAAGCGACTAGGACTTCCCGGACCCCCACGTACCTCCAGAAACTTTTCAGCTTGGCGAAAGAGTGAGACACGGCCGCGGCCATCATTTACTTGCCACAAAAAAAGATACCGACCGAAAGTGGCCAGTGGTGTGGGAAAGAGTGAAGAACAATCGAGGAAAATTTTCTTTTTTTCATCTTTTGTTTTTGTAATTATGGTAGACGCACAGAGTGGCTACTTGGAGGTACCGTGGTAAAGCCAACAGGTATTCTCGTTGATGGAATTGCAAAATATTTTTTCCAATAATATTCTATTGCTCAATGACAACGTGAAATGAAAGCTTTGTTTTTAGTTTCTTCACATTGTACTTCGTTATATCGTGGATTTGTTTGGGCATTGAATTTCATTTGAGATTATTACAATATAGACACACTCTTTTCGTTGATTACGGTGATCATAACATAAGTAACTAATGGATAAAAAGTCCGCGGGAAATTCGTTGCGAAGCAGTAAAGGTAACATCTGCCCGCGATGAATAATTATGGAACCATCTTGTTACAACAATATCGCAATAACGTTTTCCGTAGCAGTTAAACAGTAATTTCCATTTCACATCGTTTATTATGCACTGTTTCCTATCGATGCGGTGTATGCGTTCATTTGTACAATAATTGGGGAAACATCAACGAGAATGGTTTTGGTTGGGAATGTAATCAATCTAGAATTTCACCGCTTAAAATTCAAAGCAATTATATTCCTTAATGCAACTGAATTTCAAATTCACCCACGATGCGCCTTCTCCTCAATGCGGGGAATGAAACACTGCGATGCGACGCAACGGTAACGATTCGCAATTCTCAGTAAGAAAACATCGTTTACACGATTTTTAATACGGTTTCTAATAATAGTCAATTATTTTGCTTAATTACTTTTATGGTGAGTTTTATATCTGAAACATGAACGCAATAAACCCATTACGACATGGAACACTGTTAAATTCACAGTATTTTTCACATAAAATGCTAAAATATTAAAATCATTAATAGATCAAATTAAATTCTCTAAATTCGTAGATTACGTCAGAACAATTCATTCAAAGTAAAACGTTCTTTTATACGAAGAAATAAGTTGAAAAAGAATAGAAAATCTGTTCTCATCTTTCCTGTTACTTGCAAATGCGGGTGGTCGATCGCTGGGGATCGTTGAAACTCGACCTTCTTCGAAACGAGGCCCTTAACGACGAAATATCGTTCTTTCTGTTCAACTTGTTTTCACGTGTACTCTCTTCCTGTTGCGCAACTTATCCTGACACGCGTCGTATTTTCCTACAATCACCATAGGAAATTCATTTCGCGGAGGATCCATAATGCGACAGGAACGTGCGCGCAATCCACTCGTTACCATATCCAATTCTGTTTACCTCTAATTTTCCTGAGAAAGAAAAAACATAACTCATCGCTCATTCGCGGAACATAGCTTCGCATCCCTCCGAGTAAAACTAGGCCCATTCTTTTCCGCCAAGAATCAGCAACACAGGAGCGCCGAGCCCAATTCTCTCAACGCTATCTTTATTTCGCGCTGGCGCTGTTCCTTCGCCCGCGCTCCTCGCGTTCTTCGCGATCCACCTCCTTTTGCTCTCGCGCGCGAGCAGAAGCACGTACGAAATCGCGGAGATGAAGGAAGAAAAAAAGGCTTCTTTTGTTCCACAACCCGAGGATCGATCCTCGGGCGCAGCTTCTTTTTCATTTCCCTCCTTTCTCCACGGTTTCCTCTTTTTCTTCGCTATCTCTCACTCTCCCTCATTCACAATCACACAGAGACATACGTACACACAAACACGCCCGCGCACACACTCGATCTATCTCTCTTTCTCTCTTTTTGACTTTCGTATCATCTAAGATGGTCTTTTTACAATTTTTTACAGAATGCTGGCAGCTCGTGATAAAAAGCGTGAACGTACCGGCAACGGTGAAGGCCGGCGACACAGATTACGTGATACTGGACTGCGACTACGATCTTGAGAACACGCGCAACGATGGGCTGGTCGTGAAATGGTTCTTCAACACGAACGACTTGGTCTACCAATGGATACTCGGGATGAGCCCATTGGCCGGCGAGCTCACGAACAACTACGTCGACCTGACGTACGAAGCCAGCAACAATTCGTACACCAAGCACCGAGCCATGAAATTGAATAAGCCTGGTATCGATCTTACCGGCGACTACACGTGTGTCATATCCACTTTCGAGGACGAAAAGTCCGCGAGTGCGTCCATGGTTGTGTACTGTAAGTATCTACAGATAGATCCATCATTTTAGAATCTTTAGAATGAAACGTATCAGTTCTTTGTATAACACTATGTCGTTTGATGGAAAGAGATACGTGGTTATACTTGAAACAATAGTAGTAACCTTTATATCTCCTATATACGTCCATTTAGAGACGAGTTAAGTGTACCAGATTACTCTCTTATGAAAATATAAAAAATTGCAATTGACACATGCATATTTGAAATAGCGAATAGTTCCGGAGATAATCGCGTTTATACATTAAAATGGGACACCTTTTGTAGATACCCGTTTCTGATGTAACCAGTTAAATGATCGGTAATGGAAAGTTAAACTTTTCAAAAAGCGGTACAGGTAATTGACAGTTTAATGCAGGGAACAATACATAAAATAACTTTTAGATAATTAACGAAATTCGGTGATCTCATCTTTTTAACGGTAACGTGAAAAAATAATAATGGTGTCAATGTGTTAGCTAGAAACATTTCTTCCATTACTACTCTTCATAATTGCAATGTTTAATAATTGTTCCGAATCACGACTCCACCTCCAAATAGGCTATACATCTTTTTAGCAATTTTCAGCAGATCTTCCAACAACATAACAGTTATTATTTAACTTGGGAAAGCTGTAGAAAGAGAATTGTAAGCAAAATATTAATTACTATATCCGTCACTTTGCATAGGGACAAAGAACATAAATACGAGCGATTGTAAGTTTCGTACTGTGAAAGAGTTATTCTAGTAACCTAGTATTCTCAGTAATGTCATTTAAGACACAACCCATTTCGAGATGAAGCCGTAAGTCGAAAGAATTTCCCAAGGTTTTACTTAAATATAACATAAATCGTCTTCATAAAACGTAAACAATATTCAGCGAAATAATTTCGTCAACTTCCTAGACGTTTAGACTTGAGTAGAAGAAAAATTCTATTTTTTTATATTACCCCTGAAATTGTGTACGTCTATTCTTAATTATTTTCCATTTGGAAACGTCAGTCCTCGCGAGATAGACTCTGGTTCCCTGTGCGCTGGTTTTTAACGCTAACTCGTGGTACAATATCGTCATAAACTCTTACCGTTGGGAGACACTTGCAAACTCGACGCGGTCAAGTCGTACCTCGACCAAAATTTAATTAAGTTTTCCATGTGCACTTCATTCTGAAGGCGCGGTTTCCACCACCAGCGCCGTGGAGAGGGAAAAGCGGCACGTCACTCCTCCTTCAGAATGAAGCTAATTAAAAGTCGTTCGTTAGTCGTTCCTGAGTCTTCGGAAAGTTGTTTGACAGTCGTAAAAGGATATACGCGTCGTTTATCAAACTATTCGCGTGTACATATGTTTGTATGAAACGTCTTATATCAGTCGTTAAATGGTCAGTAAACCAAGTAGTGACGATTCTCGTTTCAAAGCGCTTGGTGTACATCGCTAGTATAAAAATTTATTCTTTCGTTAAATATTCGTGTGCCTGGATTTAATCAGTCGTATGTAAAAGGTTGAGTCGTTCGTCGTACAACTTTGAATGAATCGCAAGTAAATTTCGTTTGAAAAGTACTTGATCAATCTTCAAACAATCGCAAACCTTCGCAAACATTGTTATTCGGTTCCATTTAGTTCCATACTAGAGAACAGTTCTTAACAGTTCCATACTATTTCCTATGCCATATTAGAACAATTATATAGTATCAATTTTTTCAGTCATAATTGAGTGATTTACGACCTAAAATATTTGTAACACATTGGACGACATTTACCGGTCACAAAATATAACCAAATTGTTAACTTTAAAGAGTCGAAAGGCTACAATATGCGGAGATGTAAAAAATTTTCATTTCATTTCATTTATTACAATTGTTGCAATAGAATTTTCTATTTTATTATATGACAAGTCTTATCAATATTTCTTCTATATATAGTCAATATTCTATCGTTTTATAGATGAAGTATTACTGAAAAAGTATTAACCGTTAGGTCACTCGACCAACGACCGCTTGACTAATGAATTTAATTGTATTAATTAATTAATAATTAGTAACCAGTAATATTCATAATTATTAATATTAATCAATAAATGTCATTTCAGCTAATATTGTACTTGAAATAGCAATAATTATTTGTTCGCTAAATTCAAATTATAGATTCTTCGACTTCTCAGCACTGTGTTAAATATTTACAATATCCATGAGGATTTCGGAACTGATTATGATATTCTAACCAAGGATATTAACTTAATCTAAGAATAGCGAATACTTTTTTGAAACGATAGAAAACGGTGGATGTCGATAATGTCGAGTCAGAAGGTAGTTTTGCCCCTCGTACTCCTGAAGAATCGATTGTTCATTGATGAGCGATTCGAAATGTTTCAGCGAGGGATCGGGCTGGCCGGGCACGTTCCCTCAGCGAAGAGAATATTGTCAGCGGGGTACAACGTAATTTAGTTTTTTTGTCCACTGTCGCTCGGAGGAGAAGTAATTCTCGGAATAATTTTGGAATTGACAGTGGTCCCTGATAAAAAGATAGCTTAACCCTTTGCGGTCCAATGTCGGGATAAGCTTGATATTTGATTTTATACCAATAGCTATAATTATTTTTCAAGAATTGTCCCCCCAATCTTACAATGATCGACCGGGGGTATATACATCATTATGCCCTTATGGCGAAGGTGGACAAAGTGATAAATATGTATATTAACATGACTAGAGAGCGTATATGTATAAATAGGTACACGTAGCTATGAAACATATAGAATTGAACACAATGAAGTAAATAAATAATACATAAATAAAGAAAGATAAATAAGTAAGAAGATAAATAAATTAATTAATTAATTAACTAACTAATTAGATAGATAAATAAATAGATACACAAGTAGATGAATAAATAAGTACATAGATATCATAATTCATAGCCAAGTCCGGGACACTGGTGTTCCCAGGCCTTACCGATAAAGTATGTAGTTGTATAAATTATATAGTTAAAAAATAAATCATAGGACAGGGGGTTAACATGTATCGCAACCAACGTTTCTTTATGAAATGAAAATAAAATTCAAAATAAGAATTTCGTCAACTTTCGTCGCATTACACTATACATATTTCATAGAAAAATGCACGTGAAAGTATTTGAACTTTCTTTATGCAAGATATAAAATGTTGGACATCACAAGTATATGCTGCTGGTCACGAATGTATTAAGTAAGTTTTTCGATTTCGAGTATTGACTGAACATAATTTCAAAAAGCAATCCAAGCACACTTGTCAAATATATTCTGTACGTTGAACGTTCTGTATAGAAGACTATAATCGTTACAATAGTGGAATCAAATAAATTAATAGCTCATTTAACCGACAAGATCCGCACATCGACCTCCAGTTAATTAATTAGTAATTTATATTCGAATGTTAAACACGTACCGTCGGCAATAGCACGTTTACAAATTACGGGAACAATTGTCATCCGAATGATCGATGCAGTTTAACACTAAAATAATCAAACCCGATAAAATAACAGATTACAAGTATCTTATTTTACCTTGTAGATTCTATTAATCCGTGTTCATTGGAGTTCATATTGACTTAAATCAAAATAAAGGAATTATTATATTATGCATGTGCCAATTTATTTTCCATCGTGCACTCGTATCTTATCTTTTTAACTACAAAAGGCGACTTAACTCGTCCTTCAAGTTTAACCCTTTCAATTGGTATAGTGATTTTTTTTATTACGCCTATAGTAATTCCTGGTTGTGTATTTTCATTCGTATGGTACCATAAAAATAAATAAAAAATCGCTAGTATAACGATGTTTTATTTCAATAGAAAAATGGTAAACCATTACAAATTTTTATGCAATTTTATTATTATTGCTACTAGCAATATAGTATTATATACAGAGTGTATTATATATCTATAATATCAGGAAATGTGACGGAGAGAGAAATAAACGAGTACAAATGTTTCAAACAAAACATTCAGAAATTGCAAGCATCAGGATGTTGATTGTATTCTGGCAATCACATGATACCTTATTGCACAATACAAAATGAGTGTCATATGCATAAATCATATCAGAAAACATTTCCACTGAATGGAACTATAATATTTTTCATTTTTATACATGTACTGTACCATATACGTGGTCGCGAAGAACATTTAAAAAAAGAAGAACAGATTATTCACGAAAAAGGAACACATGTCCGATGTTTTCAGTAGTTTTAACGAAATTGCGTATTGCATTCAGAAATGAGAGACGGCGCACTAGAAAGAGCTTTACCTGTACATGTTTTCAACAGGTAACAACTTGTAGGACATTATTACAACAATGCAACTACTTATATTTAAAATAATATAATCGATCGATAGTATTGCCGACTTTTTCTATTTACGTTGCACAAGTACTACACGATAAGACTGAGGATTAATTAAATTTCTCAGTAGTTCTTCGTTTCTGCGTTCCCTCAAAAAATAATTTGTATATTTCATCAAATCATAATGTTCATACTAACATAAATCATGCAAGATTAAAGTGTATTACTGTATGTATTTATAATTACATTAATATCATTCGTCTCGAGTTACCGTTTTCATGAATCTTCACGTTTCGAGTGAACATGCAGTTAAAAAGCTCAGATTCTGAATATGTCACAATAAATCAATATGATCAATCATATGATTAATAATTGTTCTAGCGTTAACCAAAAATATGCAATTATTGTCGAATTTGCCGGAAGCTCCGGAATACATTTTCAAATTGTAATTCACTCTATCAGCATGTTCTTATATCTCCTCTCTGAAAAATCTTCCGAAGTTAAAATGAAATAAATTTCTATTCTCCATTTAAATGCGAATATCTTCTCTTCAGACAACGCGACGCGTGTTTAATCTCGAGCATCCGAGAACTGTCAAACTGCGAGTCGGAATTTTCTATCGGGCGCGCACCAACCATACACGAATCTGGAATCCGAGATAGCTCAGAACGATAAAAGATTGATTTACGATTCTC